CTCTTCCACTCTCAACTGTTTATTTCTTCTAATAATACTTTTCCCGGCACAATGTTATCATTGAACTTTTGACCATGTGGTGGGTTAAAGGAAAATGGGGCTACAGCTCAGTGATAGAGCACTTAACCTGGGAAGCTTGACAGCATAGGTTCAATCCCTAATACTGCCAAAAATAATTTATTTTTAAAGAAAGAAATGGGAGGTTTCAATGCATATTTTCTTGGTGGTGTTATAACGGCTTAAAATAGTTCTGCGTTAGTTTCCCTTGCTTCCTATCCGCTAGAGCGGATAGGAAGCATGATTGTGAACTGCAGGTGGGTGAACTGGCTGGAGGAGGTGTTTGGCTTTCACATTGTTCCCAGTGTCTAATTTTATCAAATTGTAGGGCTTGTGTTTAGGGGACTTGATGAGCTATGCCTCATGATGTAATGTTTGGCCTGATTTTGTAAGCGTTCCTCGCATGCCTCCAATAATTCATACTATTTGTTTTTATTATATGCAAACATCTACAAAGTCAAAGTTAATTGTTTCATTATATATTTATTGTTAAACAGGTATTACACTATAATGCAAGAGGGCTTTGAACTCATGATCCTCCTGTAACCTCCTAGGTGCTAGGTAATAAGAGGTCTGCACTGCCACTACCTCAAATTTGTTTTATTAACATTTCTTATACGTATTTTCAATATTTATATTTTTGGGGGGATTGAACCTAAGGCCTTACACATGCTAGGCAAGCATTCTATCGCTGAGTGACCTTCCCCAGCCATCTTCTTGAAGAAGGTGTCCCCTATATAACCTGACTTTGCCAGCTACTTGTTTGCTTTTTTGCATTTCTACCAGCTGTTGTTCTAAATCGTTCCATGTTCATAAACATCATATTTCCTTCAAAGCATCATTTTCTCCCTCTTCAGTGATGATGCCATGGACATTAAAGGTGACTTGAGAGATATAGTGTAAACCAGAGCTAACCAATATGTTTAGGAGCACGCCTTCATTGAAAAGAAAAAAACATTTGGATGTCAGTTGTGGCCTTTGATGCCTGTTCTGGGGATGTAGAGGCAGGTGAATCTCTGTAAACCAGCCTATTCTACATAGTGAGATCTAGGGCAGTCAGGGCTACATAGAGAGACCCTGTCTCAACACATGCACAACACACACACACACAGAGGGAGAGAGAGAGAGAGAGAGAGAGAGAGAGAGAGAGAGAGAGAGAACATGAGCAAGCCATGGCTACATAGAGAGACTCTGTTTCAACAAACACAAACACAGAGTCAGGGATATATAGAGAGATAGAGAGACCGTGTCTCAACACACACACACACACACACACACACACACACACACACACACACACACAGAGAGAGAGAGAGAGAAAGGGGGAGAAAGAGAGAGAGAGAAAGAGAGAGAGAGAGAAAGAGAGAGAGAGAGAGAGAGAACATGAGCAAGTCATGGCTACATAGAGAGACCCTGTTTCAATAAACACAAACACAGAGTCAGGGATACATTGAGAGATATAGAGACCCTGTCTCAACACACACACACACACACACACACACACACACACACACCTCTACCACCACCACCACCACTACCACCACACAAACCCGCTTGGGTCTTCATTTTTTCATGGCTATAGATAGCCAGAAGGCTGATGCTGTAGCCTTGTTCCACCAGTGTACATTAATTAGTCAGGACCAGCTTCCCCAGCACTGTTATCGTCTTTCCCGGCTTCATCTCCAGAAATGTCTGTTTAATTTATAAACAGTCCCCTTTAGGTATCGTTTCCATTGACCTCACATTATTGCTGTTCTCGGGTGATGTACTAGCAATGCAAATACTCTAGGATCCTCCATGAGAAAAATGCATGCAAAGGCCACCAACTAGGCTGTGGGAAGACTTGGCACAAAGCTTGTTATGACTCTTCGTGATTGGCCATTAAAGCTAGTGTTCAGAATGTATTCTTTCTTTTTAAGATCAGGGTAAAAAAACAACACCCAAATCATTATTCATAAAGAAATTTAATTTTTTTTTTGCTTTCTTACTTTATTTAAAACATTCTCACTTCCTTTCCCATCTTTTTAGCACATCAAAGGGAGTTTATTTTCATTTGTAGGCCGTTAAATTACCACTCTGGGATTTGAGACTTTAAAGGGCTTATCTTAGGCCTGTCACATGACATTTGCATGACTGTCATCTGACTGAGTTGACCGACTGACCGAGGTCAGAGCAGGCACCAGAATACAGATCTCTACAAAGTATGCACAGACAAATTTATATTTGCAAAAGATTAAAAAAATAAAATCCTACCCCAGCTGGGTGTGGGGACGCACGCCTTTACTTCTCAGTACCAGCAGGCAGAGGTAAGCAGACACCTGAGCTCCAGGCCAGCTCAGGAAAGAAGTTCAAGAACAAGCCTGCACTACTTTAATTCTCACGGGGGCGTGGTGTGCAGGTAAATTAGCACTTCACTTAAGACAGTCCGCTCAGGAGAACGACTTGCCCACTTTTCTACCAAGCAACACCTCCTCCATTTTCATCCTCAAAGTTTCTGTCTTCCTACCACACAGCTTCACTTTCCTTACTTAGTTTTGTTTCTTTGTGTAGTCCTGGCGGAACTCGCTGGGTAGACCAGGCTGGCCTGGAATCAAAGAGATTCACCTGCCTCTGCCTCTCAAGCGCTGGGAGTGCATGCGCCACCACCCCCCAACTACAGCTCCATCTGAAAAAGAACAGAGTTGGGCAGGCAAGATGGCCTGTCAGGTGAAGGTGCTCACCACAAAGCCTGATGATCTGCCTCTGATCCCTAGGGCCCATGGGTGGAAGTAGCAGGTTGACCTCCGACCTCCACACATGCTTGGTGGTGTATGTTCACACAGAGACATGCACATCTATACATCCAATGAACGAGTTAAAATACAACGAAAAATTTGAAGAACAGAGGTGCTTCCTCAAGGAACTATTTCACCATTTTATCTCGAAGGAATACAAAGCATAACTCGATATTTTAATTTTTAACAAAGGATCTTCCTGATTGCCAGGGACCTTAAGGAAAAGTCAACGGGGTCTGAGAAACAATGTATTGCAAATTTAAAAACTGATCTACTTTCATACAAAGGAGAGTAAAGGAATGGGGCATAACATTGACTTAAATTCCTTACAGTCCTTTGTTTCTTGTTTCTTGTGGAAGACCGCGAATTGGTCGTTGTCTCTCTAGCTCTATCAGTCCCATGGGGAGAGAACAGGTTCTAAAGGAAATACTTAGAGGAAGCCTTTGTGTTCTCAGTAGGATATGGAGAGCCATCTCTTTAGATGCCAGGGAATTGCTAAGCTGTTTCGGATTCTAGGAACCTGCCAACTCTGGCCAGTGGGCTGGCTCTGAGATTTGTCCATTGTTTCATGTGCCACCAATGACTGCGTGCCTTGTGGACAGAAGAGCCTCCCACCTAAAACATTCAGCATCAGGAAAAAAAAAAAAAAACCTGCCAAACTTTGCCTTTACCATTTACTTACTGCCCTTCATGGCCGGCCTGGAGCTGAGCCGGGTCTGAGTCCCGTGACCAGCAACCCTGTGAACCAGCTGAGAGCAGCATGAATAAAGTCCTTTGCGTGGACTTTACATCATTACAGATTGCAGCGTGGCTCATACACGCTCCATCTTCCCATCCCTTCCCACATCCCTTTCCGTAAGTGGCCCACGTGGCCTTTTCGTGTAGAAAAACAATGCATGATGTCCCAGGGTCAAGAATTCAAAGTCTGTGCTTTCAATCTTTTAACATCTAGAACAAGGGCTTGTCAACGATGACTATAGTCTGGTTTGTGCGTCATTTAAAAATTGATCTTCTATGTGACTAAACAACAGACGTATTTCTAGATGATGAATCTTTGATGGACCAGTAGTTGAGCATCACAAACCGGAAGATTCAACTCCCTAGCACTCAGGGAAATGGCAGACCCACGGAGACAGTAGAAAGATCAGCAGCTTCCAGGCAGAGGAGTTGGGAAGATGTTTATGAAGTGGAGAACAGGGGATTTTTACTATAGTGACGCTACTGCACAGGATGACACATGGCTGACTGTACATCACTGCACACTTGCCAAAACTCCAAGAATGAATTGAAGCCGGCTATGGTGACACATCCATATGATCCCAACACTCAGGGGGCTGAGTATGGAGGATGGTGACCCTGTCGCTAACCAACAACAATGACAACACACTGAATTCATCCCAATATAAACTACAAAGCTGAGTTATGACGATGTATCTGTTGGGAGATGTTGATAATGGAGGAGTCTATGTATGGGCAGGGAAATGCATAGTATAGGAAATCTTTGTACCATCTGGGCAATACTGCTAAAAACCCTAGACAACACTAAAAGGTTGATCTATTATTATTATTATTATTATTATTATTATTAATTACTACTATTATTATTATTCTATAACTCAGCCTGGGGCTGGTGAAATGGCTCTGTGGGTAAAGTTTCTTCCAGTCAAGCGCAATGACCTGAATTCAATCTTTCTTCATAAAGGAAGGAGAGGATGAAACGTCCCACTCACTTCCACATGTGTGTCACGGTGCCTTTGCATGCGTCCATACACATACATGTGGACAAACACACACAATCACATGTGTGCATGGGCACACACACAGTAAGTAAGGGTACATGGTAAAGGAGAACACACAGCAGGTATGTGGCGCAAGCCGGCAATCCTAGCACTTAGGAGGCAGAGGAAGAACTTATAAATTTGAGGCCAACAAGTTCCAGGCCAGCCAGGGTTACATACTGGGAACTTAATTCAAGAAAAGGAAGGAGGAAATGAAGACAGGAAGGAGAGAGAGAAAGAGAACTGCCTAACAAAAGCTACCATTCTAGTTCCCCCTTCACAAGCATTATGAATATACATTTTTTTAAAAATGGCACCTCTGGAGCAAGTACAAGGAAAATGTTTTCAATCTTTTCAGAAGAACAGGCTCTCAGCAAGATGGAGAACTTACTTCACAGCCAGGCTGGATGTCCCAGGAACAGGACTCCTCGGGAGGAATCAGCCCCCTTTGGAAAGCATGGTCACCCAGGCATGATTGACACAGGGCAGGCTCAAAGTCTGGGTCCGCGGGAGGGAGGTGCAGCCCAGAAGGGCCAGAATACTTCAAACTGGGGCTCTGGTGTTTGTCCACACTGACCATGGGACTCTTGATCCATCTGCGTACCTGAGGAGCACGGAAGGAAAGAGAAGAGAGTCACATTCGCGGGCGTTGTCATTTACAGCGCGAGGGTGGGGAAGGTGGTGAGGTAGAGACTTATAGGAGAAAAGTTCCATTTTACAGTTTCTCAATCTCCAGCCCGCACATGTTCTAAACTGGCCAATGCTGGACAGCGGCCTCCCAGCAGTGAGAAGGTTGGAGTCCTTCATTTAATCGCCTGAAGGATCTCCTCAATTATATAATTAAGATAATGATATTTTCTCTCATGTTGCAGCATTTACATTTTCATCATACTCTATTATTATTATTATTTGCAGCACTGGGAATTGAACGCAAGACCTTGTGCAGGCTAAGAAAATGCTAAATCACCCCAGGACAACAATGCTTTCATTTAATTAACATTCTGAAGGGGAAGTGCTTATTTGACTTACAGTGTAAGTAGATCCAGGCCAGCATGGTGGGAAGGCATCCTGACAAGGGGCTTCATGCGAACTATGCAGTTAGCTCTCTATGCCTCCCTAGGAATCGACAGAACAGGAAGCAGAGAACAGATGGGAAGGGGGACTGGGTCTGAGTTAGTGGTATAACCCTGTTTTCCTTGTTACTTGGGAAACTGAGGCAGGAAGATCAAAAGTTCAAAGCCAGCCTATGCTACAGAGAATGTTCCAGTCCAGGACGGGCAGGTTAGTGAGACCTTGCTTCCAAATAAGCATTTCAGCTGGGTGTGCAGTCCCAGCTTGGGAGGCTGAGCCATGAGCAGCACCGAGTTTAAGGCCAGCCTGAGCTACGAACTAAGATTCTGTCTCACAAGCTGAGAGGGTGATGAAGCCCAGCAGGAGTTCATGTGTGCAATTCTCACACGTGAGAAGCTACAGACAAGGGACCGAGTTCAGGGCCTGTCTCGGTTTTATAGGCAGTTCAAGGCCAGCCTGGGGCTGCTTGAGAGTCCACCTTGTTTCCCCATCAAATGTCTATAACAGTGAAATTCTATCAGTAAAATGTTTAGACTACAATAAACACAGTTGTAGCCACTGTTAGAATCATGAGTGTTTCCTTCCTTCCTTCCTTCCTTCCTTCCTTCCTTCCTTCCTTCCTTC